TGACATTCTTCTTTCCACAAATTCCCTGGAAATCATCCATATCAATGGCCCAGATCATACCGCCACCATACCCTTTCTCCCGGATGTAATCCATCTGAAAAATATATTTGAAACTTCTTCATAAATCTACCTAACAGATACAATGCTGGTATTTCGGAATGATACTTCCAATTTATCTAAACGCTCTGAACAAGGATCTCTCTATCATGTACTCTCTGTGGTCAAGCAACTTGTTTGTCTTCATGTTCTTTAAGAGTCATAGATAGGAAATAGATATGAGATATATTAATGAACAAGGATCTCTCTATCATGTACCGGCCCGGCATGGCCAGGTGGTTAGGGCGCTCGATCCGCAATCTGAGGGTCGCGGGTTCGAATCCTCGTTACACCAAAACATGCTCGCCCTTTCAGCCGTGGGGGCGCTATAATGTGACGGTCAATACCACTATTCGTTGGTAAATAAGTAGCCGAAGAGTTGGCGGTGGGTGGTGATGACTAGCTGCCTTCCTTCTAGTCTTACACTACTAAATTAGGGACAGCTAGCGCAGATAGCCCTCGTGTAGCTTTGCGCGAAATTCAAAACAAACAAACAGAATTGCTAAGTTTGGTGGGATACGATCATAGTTTACGCATGAAACCCCAGGATCCCGAGGGGGGGGGCACAAAATCAGAAAACCTACTTTTGTATCCCAGTATGCTTTGCAGGCACATTTTAGTCTCCTTTGGTAGGTGGGATACACCGTCTCCTTTGGTAGATGGGATACACCGTCTCCTTTGGTAGATGGGATACACCGTATAGATAAGAATACCCCCTCGGGTCACTCTGATTCCGCCTGCTAAGTTTAGCTCTGCCAGTTACAAAACTGTGGGAGGAGTTAGCTGAACGTACAAAGATAAGTACAAAACTACAAGCTGGATTATCATAGGATGAAAATAAATCGGTAGGAGCCTTCCGCCTACTGCTGTAGGGTCGGAAACTATGTAAACGATTATTTTAAAAATTGCGTTGTACCAAAGATATTTTTACTTACCTTAATCCCAATACTGTCGTCATCTTCATAGCCAACCCACTGAATGTCATGAAAAGTATAAGGACATTTCCCGATGTCATCATATTTTTTTGTCCAGTTGCCAGTCATAAGGTTTTCACAAATCTAATAAAATATGTTTGTATATATATATATGATAAAAATAAATTACATATTCTTCATAGTTAATCATTGTGTTGTAAAGTAATATATATACATGTACATCTTAAATAATTACTGTATAATACTTAAACTGAAACCGCTGTATGAACTTATGATTTAAATTGGAAATTTTCCTGTCGTTAAGAGTAGTCACACATTTCTTAAATTAACTAATTAAGTAAAACGTTTTTTGTGGCCCTAAGTTTGAGAATCCCAGGACTATACGACCACTTAAGTCTAAATAATTATTAGCTAACTTTTTAAGTTAGATTTTACTTAATAATTAGTTTACACCATACGTAAGTGTTAACATGTGGTCGTTTTCGGAGAATTCCTAGGAAGGACTGTATATGATGACAGGGGAAAGGGGGGTATTATATGATCCTTGTTCTTCTCATTATAAAAACAGATGTACTATTCACTCATACTATTAGGAATTGAATCCGCTAATTATTTTAATGATTTCTAAGTTTTATTGGTTTAATACTAGATTGACTGAGTGTGATATCAGTGAAACTTAAGTGATCGTATAGGTTACTAACCGTAACAACGATTAACATTCAATAGGCATAAAAGAACCGTAAATACGTGATGTCCTCAGATAAGTATTACAAATCGGTCATACCAGCATGTTCCGACATAAAAGAAAGAAGCCTTCTTCAGTTTTTAACCTTTAGATGAAAAATGAACAAAAATCCTATTATACCACACCAAACAAACATTCTATCCCAACCAATTATTCTATCAGGCCACACCAAACAAACATTCTATTCCAACCAACTATTCTATCAGGCCACACCAAACAAACATCGGAATAGAATGTTTGTTTGGTGTGGCCTGATAGAATAATTGGTTGGAATAGAATAAATAAACTAAGAAAATTGTATAATAAACAATCAGTTTACTGAAGATGTGATACGCAAATGTTTATAAATGTGTATATATAGTTTGTTGTTGGTTTTTGTCTTTTGTGTGTGTGTGTGTGTGGGAGTGGTGACTGTAATCCCAAGCTAGAAACTTTAGTTCACACAGGGTGAAGCAAAAGTGTGGTACCATCACGATATTTATAAGTGATTTTTGTGATTCTCTAATTGTTCCTTTTTCTTTTGTTAGATAGAGTGTTTGGTGTGGCCTGATAGAATAATTGGTTGGAATAGGATATTTGTTTGGTGTGGCCTGATAGAATAATTGGTTTAGTTTATTAAAATAGGAGTAAATAGAACGATTTGTGGCCAAACATCAATTAAAGATTTGCTTCTCAACAGATTATTGTGATCTAGAAACCATTTCAGAGTGTGTGCATGTTAATATAATTTTAGTTTCAAACAAACCTCATAATAAGCCAAAAATCCTGTAGCATTTGTATACAGCCCCGGCAATCCGCCCCCAAGCCACTTCTGGACAGGAGCCCGTAGATCATTATTACTTTTGCTGCCCAGGGTGTAAGTTCGGCCGTAAAAAGGAACTCCAACAATTAACTTATGCTTGGGGGCGCCACTGTCAACCCACAGTTGGAGACCGTCATGCTATATCGTAATAGGAAAATAATTAGTTCTTTGGCTATGATTTGATTTATGGAAAGTGAAGGAAAGGAAATTACTGCTTTCTCGACTCTTTCCATAAAGGAAGTCGTAGCTCATGAATACCACGTGATGAAAAAAACAATAATAAACCTAAAACATAAGGTTTAGCATAAACTTTAGTTACTAGCAGGTTTTGTGAACGCAACAGTAAAAATATCACTCCCAGCAAAGTTAAATATCAACTGGGTTCAGGAATTACTTAATTAAATAGGTTTCTTATAATATTTATTGAATGGAAAGTGATAATACAATAAATTCATTATTTCCTTACCGAATCTTTAGTTTTTGTTAAAAGAGCTTTACAATAATTTATGTCAACATAATTCTACTTACTACATTCAGTTTTTCGTAAGCCCACTTATCAAATGGACGTTTATACAGTGGACTATGGACATCCGCAAATCCGGCCCAGTTTCCTCGGAGGTCATAAGTCATCACGTGGATCTGATCTAACAAACTTGCAGAAAAACAAAGAAGAAAAAGGGATCATATCACTTGAAGTTGTTAATATATCATGAACATCAAGGCATTTAAAACTAATGTATCGTTATAAAAACAAAGGAAAGAGCCACTTGAACAACTTTTTGATGCTGTAATCAAGAATCATTGGCCATTTGATATTTTAAAAATATTAAAATTTAAACCAAAAATGCCAATTTTTGATAAATAATGTCTGTGGCCACTAAAGATTATCAGCGAAATATGCATTGATTTTAAGCGTTTGTTTGTTCGGGACGCAAACCATGAACCTTCGAGTTTACACGAGTGTACGGCAACCGCTAGGTCAAGCCCGTCAAAATTTAAAGAGAAAATGTGTTGATTATTTAATTTCCTTTCATAGACGACAAATATAAGATGACACGTCGCCTATTGACCTACTTCAAGTTGGAAAACGTGGAGTGTGAGTTGATTCTGTGGATTTCAGAGCTGGCAAGCCGGGTTCGAACCCCCACAAAATATTTCTCGCACTTGAAGTTGAGGATGCGTTATAAGAGTGTCAGTTAATTACTTAGCGTGGATGATGGGTGGTGGGGTGCTGTTGACTGGCGGTCTTCCACCTGCTCAGTAGTTCGAAATTACGGAAGGTAGTAGATAGCCCTAGTAGTTTTGTCATAAATATAACAGTAGCGTAGGAAGCAGAAATCGGGGGGTCGGCTCCCACACTTTTCAATATGCCCCAGTAAAAATGCATCAAAATTAGAAAAATTACTGTCAGAAAAAGCAAGAGAATGCATACAATTTAATCCAGAACCCGAGAAATTCCAGGGTCCAAAGACGAACCCTGGACCCTGGCCGTAATGGGTTCGCCCGTGACTCACATTTCCTTGATTAGTTCGGTCAAATAAATCTTGCTTACCCACTTTTAATTTGCCTCCTACCCCTGTGTATAAGATACAAAAATTGAAAAAAAAAGTGCTTTACCATTCTTTATGTTTCGTTTCTTGGATACTTAAGAGCAAGTTTGGACAGAAAATTACAAGTGTTTATTCTTTAATTCACTAATAATTATGAAGTTAATTCTAAAAAAAACTCTGTCATTTACTTTCGAATGAAGAAAGACTACAGTAACCTTCTAGGCGCTTACAAAACTGTCATTTTACAGGGAAATTCATGGTGGTCTAGACACAGTTCTAATACTAAAATTATTAGTGATCGATGTGTAAAAAATAAAATATGGATTTTCTTATTATTCAGTTTTGCCAGTTGAAACATTATTTTGTAAAGCCCGTGTTTGATTAATATCATCTTATCAATCTATACTAAAAATAGAAACTAGACTTTTTTAGCTAGACCAGGCTTGAGCTAGATGTAATTCTGCCGGGCTGCGGATCGGAAAGTCCAAGGTTTAAACCGGTAATATGCTGATGAACGTGTTCCACACTTTCACTTTTGGGTGCGTTACAAAGGTGACAGTCAGCCCTCCATTCAGTTAAGAGTAGCCGTGTAGGCGGTGGTGCCGCTGTTAGGCTGCCCTTTATCTGGTAAGAAGCTCTTAATTTACCAAAGAGCAAAACTGTAGGTTATATAGGTCTCCCACCATCTATACGTTTATACCCAGCATTACTTTATGCCAACCCTTACATTTTTTATCCTTTTTTTAAAATCAAGAAATGATGATTGTCAGAAACTTACTATTTAAGTAGTATATAGGGGTGTTTGGCTAAGGATTCTTCTACAGAAGGTGTCTGTGATTTGTTGGCGATAAATTCGACAATAAACGAACAGCACGCACTCCACTTATATTTAAAATAATATATACATATTAGAAACAAGTTGAACGTATATACAAAATTCTTTACACTGTGGAGATCATAGTTGTATCTTAAACACTACACAGTTCTCTTCTTCTTATCAAAAGTCCACTTAGACTAATTCAATTGCTTTAGAATTCAGTTGACAAACCGAACTATCTTGCACAACATACTTAGCTAGAGGTCTCACTTCATAACCTTCTTGTAGTCGGAACTTTGCCACCGGCACGGCTGCTGTTAGTAGAAGTCCATAAGGATCAAACGCTTCTCTCAATTCCTGGAGATAAAAAACAGAAAACTCGAATTAAAAATAAGACATCACTTCTCAAAAAAATCTTAATCCATGTTTTTTTTTAATTAATCAACATAAAAATGAATATAAATAGCAAACAAATATAGCTACGTCACGACAAAAATCTGAAAATACAAAGATAGTTAAAATTGTCGTAAAAGAGAAAATAATTATGTGTTCAGTGTTTCGACCAAATGACCTCGGGTCCCAGTAAAGTTCAGTTGCCTCCCTTCGCAGCGATTTTTTCATGATTGGGCCCGGCATGGCCAGGTGGATAAGGCCCTCGACTCACAATCTGAGGGTCGCGGGTTCGAATCCGCATCCCACCAAACATGCTCGCCCTTTCAGCCGTGGGGGCGTTATAATGTGACGGTCAATCCCACTATTCGTTGGTAAAAGAGTAACCCAAGAGTTGGCGGTGGATGGTGATGACTAGCTGCCTTCCCTCTAGTCTTACACTGCTAAATTAGGGACGGCTAGCGCAGATAGCCCTCGTGTAGCTTTGCGCGAAATTCCAAAAAAAAAAAAACAAAACTTCATGATTACCGTAATACAGACACAATTTTCTTCTAACTCTTACGTTTTCTAATGAGAGAAATCGAAATATTTTTGCAAATGTTTTAGAATATTGCCCAAAATTATTCATTTTCTGAAATAATGAAACACTACTGTATCTCTTAGATATACAAAATCAGTAGTAGTTTTGTATTTTAATAAGAAACATAAAACAAATAAAAAATGTGGTATTAAGTAAGAAACATAAAACAAACAAACCAAAACTGTGGTATTAAGTAAGAAATATAAAACAAACAAACAAACCAAAACTGTGGTATTAAGTAAGAAATATAAAACAAACAAATAAACAAAAACTGTGGTATTAAATAAGAAACATAACACAAACAAACAAACCAAAAATGTGGTATTGAGTAAGAAACATAAAACAAAACAAAAACCGTGGTATTAAGTAAAAAACATAAAACAAACAAACCAAAACTGTGGTATTAAGTAAGGAATATAAAACAAACAAATAAACAAAAACTGTGGTATTAAATAAGAAACATAAAACAAACAAACAAACCAAAAATGTGGTATTGAGTAAGAAACATAAAACAAACAAAAACAAACTGTGGTATTAAGTAAGAAGTATAAAACATACAAACAAACAAAAACTGTGGTATTAAGTAAGAAATATAAAACATACAAACAAACAAAAACTGTGGTATTAAGCAAGAAACATAAAAAGATGGATTGTTTTTGATACGCATTGTAGCTAAAAATTACTGTTAAAAATGATTTATTAGCTTATTTTATACTTTATGTACTGCTCTTCGTCCTTATACAAAACACTAATGTTCAGCCTAGTGTAATTATGTTCGTGTTAATATTTAACAATGTCTTTATGTATAAAGAAATTAATAGATTTTTTCTTGGTTTAAATGTGAACATATTTTTTAGACACATTGAAGATATGGAGTTCTCAATCTTATTTGTGTTTTCCAAATAAAACGTTTTTTGTGGACTAGTGTAGTAAAAATAACAACAACTAGTTGAAATTATTTTTATATTCGAGATCTTAACAGATATACTTAAGTCTAGTGTTTAAAATCTGAGACCAATTGTTGTCATGAAATTATGGCTTTCCAGTGATTCAGCGGTTAGTCTGAAGACTTATAACGCTAAAAATCAGGTTTCGATACCCGTGGTGTGCACAGTACAGATAGCCCATTGCATAGCTTTGTGTTCAACAACAAACAAATTATAAATTTAGTGTATTCAATTCTTTAATTTAAAATATTGAATACTTTTACAGACACGATATACCTAACATTTCTTTGTTTATAGACATTTGTTGTTAGAATTATTATGGCGACGTGACGTAATTATAGCGCACGTGACAAAAACAAGTATGCATACTTTATACCTGAACTAGTTTCAGAAAATTTTCCTTGTCTTTGAAGTTGCCATCTCGGTCATAAGCTCCAGGGTATTCCCAGTCCAGGTCGAAACCGTCAAATCCGAGGTTCAAGGTCCACTCCAGAGCGCTCTGCACGAAAATATTCCGTCTTTGTTTGGTACTCACCATGTCTGAGTACTTCTTTCCTCCTTCATCCCATCCTCCGATTGCCAGTAAAAGTGTAAGATGAGGATATTTCATCTTAAGCCCAGTAAATCGTTTGTACCCTCCTGGATAAAATGCGAATAAATGTTACTTTTTTTTTTCAGATCAACTGTCATTGAAAGAGGGTTATATGGCGATGCTAAAGCTTATAAGCTGTTATTATTGGCGCTCTGTTACATTTCCAACTGATAACATATGTCAAAAACAACGCTGGAATCGATCGCCATAAAACGAAGATTCACTGTTCCTGTAAGCAGAATATAAGATAGAGGGCGACACAAAATAACCTTAAAAACATTACAGATCTGGACTATTTGGGAGTAAAGACAGGAATACTGTCGCCAACCCCCAAACAGTCCAGTTCTGTAATGTTTTTAGTAAAAAAGGTGGCGACAGTATTCCTGTCTTTACTCCCAAATAGTCCAGATCTGTAATGTTTTTAGTAAAAAAAGTAAAGACAGGAATACTGTCGCCACCTTTTTTACTAAAAACATTACAGATCTGGACTATTTGGGAGTAAAGACAGGAATACTGTCGCCACCTTTTTTACTAAAAACATTGCAGATTTGGACTGTTTGGGAGTAACGACAGGAATACTGTCGCCACCTTTTTTACTGAATCTAAGGAATAGATAACACTTTAATAACAAACAAGGAGCCATAACGTCAAACATGAGACTTTTCATTAACCCTTATAGTCCTTAAGGGCTAGGCCTGAATAAATAGTTAGCCTACCCAGAGTATGAATCCGAGCATTTATGGTTTGAGACCCTTTGCTGCAACAATTCGTTCCGCCCTTTGGGACAATAGATACGCTATTGGTATGACGGTCAAATCCCGCTATTCGACCAGACAAGAGTAGCCCAGTGAACGCTGTTGTCTATCTGTATTCCACCTAGTTTATCAGCTCCAATTAGGGAAGGATGTGAGCGGTGGCACAGCGGTATGTCTGCGGACTTATAACGCTAGAAACCGGGTTTCGATACCCGTGGTGGGCAGAACACAGATAGCCCTTTGTGTAGCTTTGTGCTTAACTACAAACAAACAAGTTATGAGCAGCTACCAAGTGTAGCTTTGTGCTTAACTACAAACAAACAAACAAACAAACAAGTTATGAGCAGCTACCATGTGTAGCTTTGTGCTTAACTACAAACAAACAAACAAACAAACAAGTTATGAGCAGCTACCATGTGTAGCTTTGTGCTTAACT